CGCTCAATGGGAAACAGGCCGGGGCGGACGGGGCGGACGGGGCGGGCCGTGGGGAGGGAACAAAGCGCAAGGCAGACGGGCAACTCGTCCACTCCTGCCAACTCCCTGTCGTGAGCACCAGAAGCCAACACCGAGCACGTGAGTTTTAACTTTAATAGCGTTTGCTTTTTAAAATAAGACAGGGTGAAATTTCAGTTGCGCGGCACTGCTAGAGAGCCAAAGTTGCCGCACAAGCTGTGGCAGTGTACTGAATTCTTCTTTAGTGGTCCGTCGGTCCCTAGTCCGCCCCAGAGGCTGGTTCCCACGCTCAGCCTCCACATCTGACCGCCATCATTCCTGTTGCTTGTTACGGCAGGAACTATAAGTACACCCATCTTCCCACCCCTGTGCCCCAGCATTTCACCAACGCTGGACTGATTCTGACTCATAGAGACCCTACAGGACAGGGTAGAACCGCCCCTGTGGGTTTCCTAGACTGTAACACTTTACAGGAGTAGACAACCTCATCTTTTTCCCCGCTGAGGAGCAGCTGGTGATTTCGAACTGCTGACCTTGTAGTTATCAGCCCATGGCATAATCTCTACATGGCCAGGGCTCGCTCCCTATACAGGGTATACATAGTCAGTGGAGTTCTCACTCACCACCACCAAGTCAATTCTGATTCCTAGTTACCAAAGGACTGGGTAGAACTGTTCCCATGGCTTTCTGAGACTGTCTCATGACGGCGTAGAAAGCCTCGTCTTTCTCCCATGGGACAACTGTTGGTTTTGAACTGCTGACCTTGCGGTTAGCAGCCCAATAACGACAGTCACAGGCTACGGGCACTAACTCCTCACAACAGACAGCATTGCATCCCTGTGCCATCTAGAATGCACAAAATATCCGAACAAAGATTATGAAATGCCATTCGCCATTTCGCTCCTCCAGTGGGACCTTGCTGGTGGGGAGGAGCGAATGAGCCCCATCCCTCAGCAAGAGGCTGGGGGGACGCGTGGCACTGGGGGTTTCAAGCAAGTGAAGCACCTTCTGCATGGTTTCCTAAAACCCGAGTTTTCTACTCTGTCTTCCCTTTGAATACTCTTGTCTTCACCAGCCACCGTACTGGAAACCCTGGTCGCAGAGAGAGAAAGGGGAAGGTGCTGTGGGAGAATCCAGACTATTACTGCCTGAAGGCTTTCAATGTCAGGAATATGTGTATATTCAGACTACCACCGGAGGGCATTCTTTCAGAATGTTCTAAGTGCCATACAGCAAAGGGAGCTGGACGTTGGTGTGTGTCCCTCAAGATACCTCACCATCATGCTCTGCTTCTCACTTCTCTTTCGGACTGTCTACACGGGATGCAAAGCACCCTGGTGGCCTAGTGGTTTTGTACTGCGCCACAGACCACAAGGCGAGCAGTTTGAAACAGCTAGCCGCTCCTGGTTTTCTAACGCCTGTAAAGCAGAACAGTCTTGGAAACCCACGGGGGCAGTGCTACTCTGTCCTGCAGTGTCCCTGTGAGTCAGAATGGACCCCACCTGGAAAGCAGAGGACGACGATCTCACAGAGGCCCGGGGTGCATACCTGTGAGGAGACAGCCTATGACGAGGAGTGCCCGTCGGGGGGTCCCCATCGCTCCGCAAAACTGAAAAAGTCCAACGGAAACACTGTTAGCCAGTGGGTCTTCACAACATCATTTCAGTCAAAAACACCCACCAGGTAAACAGCAGCAAAGGATGGGGGCAGGTATGGGTGACAGCTGATTATCAGTTCAACTGAGGTCACTGAATGGCACGTGTGAAGACTGTGGAAATGTCCAACGTTTCTAGACCTATATATTTACCACCCTAAAACCAAAACCCCATGAGACGCCTGAGAAAATCCGATCACTGGAGGGAGCCGCACAGGAGACCTGACGAGAGCCACCGTAAGCAGAGCCCCGTGGGACGGGCACCGCTCTTATATTCTGAAAGGGGCAGCTCTGTGCCCTCAGAGGCAGACAAGGCAGCCAGGAGAACACGTCCTTCCGGAGCAGTGGTTCGCAGCCTTCCTCACGCCGCGACCCTGTCATACAGTTCCTCTGTGGGGACCCCCGACCATAACAATATTTCCGTTGCTCTTCATCGCTGTCATTTTGCTACTGTTATGAATCGTAATGTAAACATCTGATCTGCAGGATGTATTTTCATTGTGACAACTTGAACATAATGAAAGCATAGTGATTCATCACAAAAGCAATTTATAATTATATATTGTGAAATATTTATTTCTACTGACAAATAAATGAAATATTGTCTTGAAGCATGGTGTGGCATGGTAACAGTTTTGACTCTGGGTACTCTTATGTGGGTGTATCTGCATGTGTATCGTCCCGCCTGGAGACGATAGAAGAGTGGTGTTTCGCTTCCTAAGGCCATAAGAAATACATGTCTTCCAATGGTCTTAGATGACCCTGGTGAAAGGGTCATTCGACCCCAAAAGGGGTCATGACCCACAGGTTGAGAACTGCTGCTCTAGAGCATTTTAATGAAGATGAGAAACACCATGATGCGTTTCCTCCACTTTCCAACCAAAGTTGTTCTCCCTCAAAAACGGTTCTCACTTGGGTCCTGTTTCGTCACATGCAGAGGTCACATGTTCATCAACCCCTGAAGAAATGGCTGGGTATCTTCATGTGAACAGGCTCGAGGTTGTTCCCCTCTAACTAGCATCACTTAGAGCAGCGGTTCTCAACCTGTGGGTCGCGACCCCTTTGGGGGTCGAACAACCCAATCCATAACAGTAGCAAAATGACAGTTATGAAGTAGCAACGAAAATAATTTTATGGTTGGGGGTCACCACAACATGAGGAACTGTATTAAAGGGTCGAGGCATTAGGAAGGTTGAGAACCACTGACTTAGCGAATGTGTTTGTGTTTGCGATGGAAGTGGCAGGGGGAGGATAACTTACCTAAAGGTTGGTGGGTCAAACCCAGCCACCTCAGAAAAATGGCCTGTGAAGTCCTGTTCACAAAGCTCACAGCTAAGCCTGATGGCTTCTCTTCTACTCTAGCACATGGGGTCAGAATTGATGCTACAGCAACGGGCTTGGCCTGGGGGTGTCTGGGATGCAGAGGCTCTATCAGACTCAGCCTTGGCGCTCCTAAGACATGCTGATTCACACCCGGAGTTAAATGAGGCGTGGAAAACCTAAGGGTCAGGCATAAAAGGCAGAGCAATAAAGAAAGTGCAAGGGGAGAGGAAATGAGAGAGAAAAGAAAGATGTGCTGAGGAGGGGCGGTGTGAAGTGGACAAGGGGGTAACGTGTAGATTCTACAGAAGCAGGAAATACTGTTCTTGTCAAGGTAATGGCTCTAAAGAAGATGCTAAGTTCTGCTTTCCACAGCAAGGGGGAGGCGAGGTCGGAGGCAGGGGCGAGGACTCAAACACAGCCAGGCCTTAGGGAAGGGGCGAAGGGGAGGAGGGCAGGAAGTGAAGGAAGTGAAAGTTCTGAGAGGGAAATCAGAGGGGCCCATGTGGTGCAAAAACACTGCAGGCTCCTCCCTCGTGCCCTCTGTAAAGGTGCCTTTTCTCTCTCTGCCCTTGTCCACAGGGGGCGCTGGTGGCGTGTGGGCCACTCGTTGGGCTGCTAACTGCACGGACGAAACCACCAGCTGTTGCATGGGAGAAAGACGAGGTTTTCTGCTCCCGTCAGGAGCTAGTCTCGCAAACCCAGAGGGCCATTCTACCCTGTCCTGTGGGCTCACAAAGAGTCAGATCGGCTGGATCACAGAGAGTTTGATTTTGCTCATTTGTGCAGACCTGCCACACCCACCACCCACCAGTCAGTTCAAACCCTCCAGGGCAGAGTAGAACTGCTCCCTTGGGGTTCTGCGGCTGTAACTCTTGACGGGAGCAGACTGCCTCATCGTTCTCCCACGGAGCAGCTGGTGGGTTTGAACTGCTGAGCTTATGATTAGCAGCCCGGGGCTACCACCACTCCCCTTTGTTCATCTTCCCCTCCCTGTGTAGGTGAAATCCCTGATCACGTGCTCAGTGCAAAGGAAGAGCGAACGGTCCCTTGGCAGCTGTTGGGGCGACTGAGAGCCCACATTTGGATTGCAGGGCCTTGGCAGGGGTGCAAGCTCTAAGATAACCCATAATCACCATCTCAGTCCTGGCCTGGGAGACATCAGGACCCGGCAGCTGCTCCCACGGCCAACAGGTGGGCTCTCCCTCACTGGGACCCTACAGAGCAGAGTAGAATTGTCCCTTCAAGTTTCCAATATGATAAATCTTTACAGGAGCAGCCAGCCTCGTCTTCCATCTGTGAGCATCTGGTGGTGGGTTCGAACCACTGACCTTTTGGTTAGCAGCTCAATGTGTAACCCCCTGCACCTACAGGGCTGCTTTGCGCTGCTCAGCAAGTCACAATTCATGCAGCAGAGTGAGTTCATGGGTCTTTTTTTTTTTAATTAATTAAATACTTTTACTGGGAGCTTTTACATCTCTTATCACAATCCATACAACCATCCATGGTGTCAAGCACATTGTACATATGCTGCCATCATCATTTTCAGAGCATTTTCTTTCGACTTGAGCCCTTGGTATCAAGAGTTCGTGGATCGTTTTGTTACTGGCTTTGGAACTGAAACAGTAGGTTAAGGGTTAAGCTGAGTGTCTCGCTCCTCCCCCCTCTTAAAAAAATCCTCATTGTCAATCCTGACCCCTCTTCCTGTAGAGAGGCGCCCTGGTGGTGCTGAGGAATAAGTGCTGGGCTGCCGACCATGTGGCCCTTTGGGAAGGTGGACGGAGACGGAAGAGAGATGGGTTGCTGGAGGGCTGCTGGTAACAGGGGGCCCATTGTGGACACAGTGGCGCTGTTGTGTTCTCACCCAGGGAGAGTATGAGAAAGCAATCCTTCCTGAGCCCCAGAGCTCCCAGTGGTGTCACAGACATTTGATCTGAACAAGTGCCGGTGGAAGCTCAGAGAGGCTTAGCCAGTTCCCCACCATCACACAGCTCATTGCAGGCAGGATTCTAATGGAAGGCCTGTGTGATGTGAAAGCCACTTAGGGAAGGTTACAGTTTCAGCTCGCTCGCGCGCTCTCGCTCTCTCTTGCTCTTCTCTCTCTCTCTCTCTCTCTCACACACACACACACACACACACACCCCGCAACAATTTTCCTAATGTAGTGGGGGTCCTGCCTCCGCACTACTCAGGCTCCGTGCAGCAGGGAAACATACCTGCAATGCTGTGAACCCAGATGTAAGTCCCACCCTGGTAGCTGGCCGGGGGTCCTGCCTGGGAATGTTGGGTTTCCTGCCCAGAGCTGGCAGGCCAGTCTGATGCAGTGCAATTAGCAGTTGAAGGTCGTTCTGTTTGTGCCTGTAAATATCAGCTCCCCTCTGGTAATCCATTTAGCCACCTTCAAAGGTGTTGCCCAGAGCTAGCCTGATGCCCTGGATTCTATCCCCCTGATAAATGGAGTTTCGCTGGTAGGGCTTGCCAACGCTGCATCTTGGAAAGTATTCCTCAGCCTGAAAGACAGGCCCCGCTGCTTGGACAGCAGCAGGCCCTGGGACGCGCTCTGCCAGGCCAGGTTCCAGCCAGATTTCCTTCTGCGCGTCCAGATATGGAGGCCCCGCTGCCAATGAGGGTTATTTCCCGGCTGACAAACTGGGCAATGCAAACAAGACCTCAGCTCGAGAGTGAAAATGCTGCGAATGCTGAAAATCACCGTGTTTGCCAAGGGGAATTCCAGCTCCAGGGCCAGAGATACCCGGGGTTCCCTGGCTCAGCCCCCAGGCTTGCCTGTGAATGCAACCAGACCTCAGGCTGGTCCCCGCAGAATAGCTGCAGCATGCTCGCCCCTGGGGGAGAAGGTAGTCTTTTCTCTCCCCTGGCCACACAGGAGGAATCTCGAGGGTCAGCTCCTTCTGCTGCTAGTTTTACTGCTCCCACTGAAATCTGGGAAGAAACACTCACCCCTCATCCTCCCTCATGGGAGCCTTGGTGGCATAGTGGTTTACACCCTGGATTGCAAACCACAAGGCCAGCAGTTCGAAACCACCAGGCAATAATCTCCTCGGGAGAAAGATGAGGCGCTCTACTCCGGAAAGATTTTCCCACAGGAGCAGCTCAGCTCAGCCCTGCCCTACAGGGTCACTATGAGTCAGACTCAACTCTACCGCACCATGGCCCTTTTGCTGCGGTTCTGTTCCTGTGTGCCGAGGTGCATCCAGGAGGCAGCTGTACAGAGAGGGTGCCGGAAACAGGCAGCAAGAGCAAATCACTGTGCAGGGAGGATGTCAGCAGGCCTGCGGGCCACGCCTATGCCCTTGACCCACGTCCAGCTGTGGTTCAGTGGTAGAATTCCCAACTTTGGCCCCAGAGACACCGGTTTGACTCCCGGCAGGGCTCCTCAAAGGCAGACGACTGCCCCTTATTTGTCAGTTAAGGAGTGTGGGCTGGTGTGGCACTGAACAGGCTTCAGCAGCTTCTAAACTCAGAGGGACCAGGAAGAGAGGCCTGGCGATCCACTTCTGACAACCAGCCAAGGAAAACCAGACGGATCCTCAGGGTCGCGTCTGCAACCCTGTGCGTTAGGAGTCCGGAGATGACTCCGCAGCAGCTGGCGGCGCCACACGGAGAACCCAAGGTCT